CCCCCCCCCCCCCCCCCCCCCCCCCTGTGGTCTTATTCTCGATCGACAACCCTGTCCGCGCGCGTTCCCGTCGGCTCGGACAAGAAACGTTGGGGACCAAAAAGTAATACAGCAAAAAACCAGATCCCTGCGTCGGCTCACCCCCAAGATATCGTCATGATGGAGGCCACATACCTGCTTGGCCGCGTTCTGGTCGCCGGGCTCTGGCTATTGCTGCTGCTGGGGGCTGGGGCGGAGGCCCACGATAGGGGAGGAGGCGGCGGATCAAGCACTGGGCCGGCGTGGGCGGCGACGACGAGGGCCGTCATGGTGGGCGCCAACGGGCGCGTCTTCTCGCCCAACCGGACGGTGGCCGGCGTCGGCGACGTGGTCGAGTTCAGCTTCTACCCGGGCAACCACAGCGTCGTCCGGTCGGCCTACATGTTCCCCTGCGTGCCCTTTGAGACGACGGGCGCCGGCAAGACGGGGTTCTGGTCGGGCTTCTTTGACGACAAGAGCCAGGTGGGTGTCTTTGGAAGGAGATGTTGTTTATAGCGCCCAGATGTGGAAGATGGGCTTCTCTTGCTTTGCTGACGCGGATGAACAGACTCCCGGGAGATGGCGCCTGACCATCACCGACACGACCCCGATCTTCTTCTACTCGTCCGGGCCCGACGACTGCAACAGGTACGGCATGGTCGGCGGCATCAACGTCGACCCGGGCGAGCTGCAGATGCAGCACGACATGGCCGTCGACTCGCCCGCCGTCGTCCAGCCCACCGTCGCCTCGTCCCCCAACGGCGGCCCGAGCGGCTCCGGGTCCTCGCCCGAGCCCGCTCCGCCGTCGCAGTCGTCGTCGGGCGTCCCGCCCGGCGCCATCGCGGGCATCGCCGTCGGCGTCTTGGCGGCGCTGGCACTCCTCGGCTTCTTGTTCTACGCCTGCGGCCGCCGGCGAGGCGACTACGACCAGCGCCGCCGCATGCTGTTTCCCCTCGGCCGGATGGGCGGTGGAGGCGGCGGCGGCGGCGGCGGCGGCGGCGGCGGCGACGAGAGAAGGATGCCGTCGCCCAACAAGGAGTCGCAGTACCACCGGGGCTCGTCGTCGCACCGCCGCCACGACCGCGACGGCAGCAGCAACCACCACCCGCACCACAATCACCACAATCACCACCACGACGAGCGCACTTCGTCCGTGACCTTCCTCCCGACGAGGGGCGGCACCATCAGCGGGACCCACGGCGGGAGCAGCGGCAGGGACCGAGGCAGCGGCAGCGGCGGCGGCGGTGGAGACGGCGGCGGTACCACGGCGTCGAGGGCGGGCACGCGCAGCAGCGTGGTCAGCAGCACCAACACGACGTCGCCGTTTGTGGCCTCGGCCTCAACAGCAGGAGGAGGAGGACCGCCATCTGCGAATGGCAACACCGCGGCGCAACAGCAGCAGCAGCAACAGTCGCCGCCGCCCACGGCCGTCGTGGCCGCGGGCGCGCCCATCGTCGACGGCGACACCATCTACGTGCCCGTCAAGCGCAGCGCCATCGTGTCGGGCGAGTTCGCCGGCGGCGGGCCCGGTAGCTGCTGCTCGGCCGCGTCGCCGCCTGCATCGCCGCTGTCGGCCATCATGCCGCTCCCCCTCGCCGTTCCGTCCACGGCCTTCTCCCACAGCCACCACCACCACAACCACCACAACCACAACCACAACCACCACCCCCACCCCCATCACCACCACCACAACCATCACCAGCACGACCTCTACCCCTCGGCCTCGCCGGGCCCCTCGCCCGTCCCGACGGCGGCGCAGCTGCACCACCGGCGCTGGATGGCGTCGCAGGTCGACAACAGCGACACCGAGAGCGGCGTCTTCGGCTTCGGCATGTCCCGCCTGGCCACCCCGCGCCCGCTGCCGCCGCCGTCGCACCGCGCCGTC